AGGTGAAGGAAGCAGGGTTCCTGTTACTCTTAGCCATAAGGTTACCCCACCATTTATGTAGTCGAAAAGAATAGGACAGCAGGGAGGATATTTAGTGAACATGAATAAGTTCATTGCAGGGGAGATATGGGAATTTTGAGAGAACACTGGGGAGATCTGAAATGGAACGCAATGAAGGCAAGGCTGCATTGCAGATTCCTTAAATTCTGAGATCTATGTATTATAGATCAGTATGGGTGAAGGACCACCACCGCAAAGTTATCTGGGTGATGAAAACTTGTTGGAAGACCTCAGGGACCCCAGGCAAGTCAATCTTGTAAACAGGAAGATATTAAGAGAAAAAGAAACATAGAAACAGTTGTTATTTTGAGATGAACAAACTCTATAGAATAGCTGTTATTACAGATAAGCACTAATATTCCAGAGTCTTCACCCAATATGGTTTGTTTCTTTTTACCACAGCCCAACACATTTGGGAAAGGACATTATCTACTGTACACGGCCACTCAGGAACTATGGTCTCCATTTGTCTAATGATGCTTCCATCTTGGAGATCTTAGGAATTCTAGCATGGGTCCTTCAAGGACAATCACATTAACCATTCAGAAGATCAATCTGAGAGTCAATGATTTAGTCTGCATCCATTCACATTGCATTCTGGGTCTTGGCATTTAGCAAGATGTCCTAAAGAAAGCAATGGGCTTGGTGAAGCAACAGCCTCTGTTCCCAAGTGGCTACAAAGTATTCTTCAGTATAGATCTTGGTAAAGCATGCCAACTGCCTAAGAAAGCCAAGGACAGGAAATGGGACAGTTTATTTCACTAAGTGATACATGCTAAAAGTAGGACAGATAATTAAAAACAAGAGCATTGCTTAGCAGACAATGATAGAAATCAGTGTTGAGGGAAAACACACACTGCTGAGTCGTTTCCTCCAGAGTCAGCTGAAGGGATGACACAGCCTAATCCAAGAACCCAAAAACCCAAGGACCCAAGGATTCAGTTGTAAAAGCTGAAAGAAAGACTATTCTGGTGATGAAGCAGGAGCAAAGAGGGAAAGAAGAAAAATGGCACCAACAGAAAAAGTAACATGCAGATATAGAGCCATTAAGACTCTCCAAGATTTCTCTGTCTCTGTTACTCACACTTGAAATGTTCATCTAAATGATTCAAAGTCTTTCGCATGCCCAGGTGTGATTAGTCCAAGGGATCACATATATAAATGCTCAAAGAGTTTTAGATATAGACCTGCTCTCAGGGTACTCAAAAGGCTCTTCAAACCATTAGAAGAAATTCTATACTTAGGTAAGGAGAGCCTTGGACACCTAAGCTGTAGCTGTTACCATAACTGAAGCATAGGATTCTCTCACTGAGAGAACAACAACAATAACAACAACCACAATAATAAAAATAATAACTAGTTTGGACTGATGAAGGATCAGTGTGCCAGGTACTATACTCAGATCCACAAATGTGCGGCAGCCCCATGAGGCAGATGCTATTATTATCTATCCTTTTATACAGATAAGAAACTGACAGCCAAGGTAAGCTTCCAAGTGTTGAAGCACAGTTCAAACTTAGCTGACATCCAGTTGAGCTTTTAACTACTATCTTCTAGTTTTGATGCCTTTGTAATTCTTCTGTGTAGAAACATGGGATGTGGGCTTTAAAAAATTAACACAAAACAATTCACAAACATTATTTTCTGGTGAACATGAACATTTCTAAATACTGGGTTCTTTCTATTTTTTCTCTTTGTAATTGTCAAAATTTATATAGAACAGATACATAGACCTCACTGATGGGATTTCCCCTCTGTATGCTATGAATATGTCTTATACCATTGGTTAATAAAGAAGCTGCTTTGACCTATAGCAGGGCAGAATACAGCCAGGCAAGATATTATATATATATATATATAACCAATACACAGATTAATAGAAATGACTTAGTATAAGATGTAAGAGCTAGTTAATAAGAAGCCTGAGCTAATAGGCCAAGTAGTGTTGTAATTAATTAATTAATAAAGTTTCTGTTTGATTATTCTGGTCTGGGTGACCGGGAATAAACAAGTAGTCTCTTCCTACACCTCACTTTACTCTTAGCTTCCTTCTTCCCCCAGTTTCATTATGTTTCCAAGGGCCTCCTGGCTATGTATTCTCCCTTGTGAATAAAGCAATCAGCTTTTCATCCTGGCAGGAGAGAGCGAATGGAAGAGAGAAACAAAATATGCATAGTGGCATTTAAACTTTAAGGAAAGTGACACACTATTTTTACATGAAATATCCTTGGGAGAGGTAGGATACTATGAAGCAAAGAGCAGCAGTCTCATTCTGCACTCTGGGTGATAGGAAACACAACAGGTAGGACTGAATGGCTTCTAGGCTACCCAAGTGTGTGATGCTGACCTTGGGAATGGAGGGCTAAAACGTAAGGTTATTTAAAATCAAAAGCTGCACTGCTTTTAATGACTTCATCTCCTATATTTGACCAGATCCCACCTCCCCAACATTCCAAAGTCCAGTCAATAAGAAGAACAACAGCACTTCATGATTTCAGAAATTATTTGTTAAACTCTCTTGACTTTTTAGCCAAGACACGAGTTGCTTGTTACGTATGAAAATATGACCAGGGCTATTGACACCTGAAGTTAGTACTTTCAAGGACAACTTGCTTTCTAACAACTTCTATGTGAACTGTCTTAGTTACTATTCTATTGCTGTGGAGAGACACGATGACCAAAAGGCAATTTATAAAACAAAAACATTTATTCAGGGGTTAGCGGTTCAGAGGGCTAGAGTCCATGACCATCATGGCAGGAACATGGCAGTAGGGACGTGTACATGGTGCTAGAGCATTAGCTTAGACTATATAACCATATCCACGAATGCAAGGGAAAGAGGCGCGGGGGCGGGGAGGGGGGGCACCATGACGACGACGACTCAGAGACAGAAGAGGCAGAGAGAACTGGGAATTGCCTGGGCTTCTGAAACCTCAAAGTCCACCCACAATGACACATCTCTTCCAACATGGCCATACCTCCTAATCCTTCTCAAACAGGTCCACCAACTAACCAAGAACACAAAAACATGAGTCTATATAGACCCTTCCTATTCAAGCCACCGCTTGAACAATGGCCAGTTTTCAGAAATGATTTAAGCAAAAACAACTATACAGATGGCTGATTTAAAATCATCTCTTTCATCAATACTTATTAAGTTTCTGCTTTGATAAATCACTACACTCCAGGGCAATGAAGGTAGACAGCACAGTCATGAAAACAAAGCCAAAAAGAGCATCAAGTGGAGGCCATGCACCTTGAAAAGATCCGGGGAGTCAGTTTAGCAGAACGAGTCAGACATCGCTCACCATTCTCCTATGAACCTGGGCCAACCAGGCAGCTTCTTTGAAACACTTGGCATTTGTTGCTTTTTTTTTTTTTTTTTAATACTGTGACACAAGATTTAGTCTGTCTACAAACACTACAGTTTGTTTTAAAACTAACTGGACTTCCCATAAACTTTGACTAGATTGTTGGTGCTGCCTGACCTTGGGGTCCATCAGATAATTCGGGAAGACCCTATAGAAGTCTGAGGATGAAATGGTCCACTTAACCTCTCAGTGCAGAGAAGGTGGCCGCTGTGGTCAGTTTTCCTTTGGTTACTACTGACGAAGCCCATCCTGCGTCAGCCAAAGGGAGGAAAGTCCAGAACTCAGCCGTGTAGTTGGCAGCCTAAAGCACACGTTCAGTTAGGCAGGTAAATGGAAACAGGTTTGTAATGAAAGGAAACGGGCTCTGAGTGTGTACCAGCTGCCCAAAGGGCAGAAGGGGGTATGGTGTATAGAAACATTGGCTGGAGTGTAAGGTAGCATTAAGACAGGAACCAGAAATTCTAAGAACTCTTCCATAACATAGGACAATTGAAGTCTGGAAAATGTTAGCCTAGAATTTTCATTTACGAAGGTCATCTTGTAGCGCCCAGTATCTTTAGCACGTTCATTCTCTGAGTTTCTTTTTTTTAATTTTTTTTTAAATTTATTTATTTATTAAAGATTTCTGTCTCTTCCCCACTGCCGCCTCCCATTTCCCTCCCCCTCCCCCAATCAAGTCCCCCTCTCTCGTCAGCCCAAAGAGCGATCAGGGTTCCCCGCCCTGTGGGAAGTCCAAGGACCACCCACCTCCATCCAGGTCTAGTAAGGTGAGCATTCTCTGAGTTTCAATCCTCAAGGATTAACAGATACCTCCTCCCCCAACGCCGCAACCCCACCCTCACCCCAAACCAAACCAAACCAAACCAAATTCCTTAGTTCTAGAATTGTGAAGCAGTTTCGTGCATTAGTAACAACTAGCAGCATTTGAGATTCAATCCTTTCATGAGAGGTTGAAGTCACAGGACAGGCCCATAGAGGGAAGGGGACAGCTAAGGCTCAAACATTCTGGTAGCCTTTGACTCCTACGGGGGCTCTCCTTTTAAATTCAGGCGCCGGCGCTGGGTCAGCACTTTCACTTGGCTCAAAGGACAGGCGCTGAGCGCCATTCTGCAATTCCTAAGGCGTCTGTGACTGACAGGAACAGAAGCGACTCCGCGACAGTCAGGAGCCAAACAAGACTCCGAAGTCCCATCAAAGCCCCAAGTGTTAGCCTCAAAGACGTGGTTCCAGGTTCCCAGCCACTCGCAGTGCCTGAACCACGCAGAGTGGATTTTTTTTCTCCTCCACCCCCAAACTCAGCTTTCCTTCTGGAATCTGTCCCCTTGGAATACAGAACACGAACGCGGGCGGACTGTGTTCTCAGTTGCCAGGGTTGCAAAGGAGCAGCTGGGTGCACAAACCACGCCCCTGGTGCGCTCCCCCACGGTGCTAACACCTACGCTCCCAAGGCAGTGAGGTTGGGGAACGCGGGGGCTGGGAAGGGCGGAACATAATGGAAACCCGCCCCTGATCCCACCCTCAGCAGAGATTGGCAGGGCTCGGGCGCTCGCCCCTGCCAATGGGCGCGTTCCGGGGCGGGCCTGGAAAACGGCTGTTCAGGCGATTTAAGAGTCGTCGGCGCGGCTGTGGAAAGCCGAGTGGAGCCAGGACTTGCCAGGTGGATCAGACGCCAAAGCCAGCGTAGACACGGAGCGCACCCGCACCGCTCTGGGCACCTCACCGCACTGCTTGCCTCCGGGTAGATCTGAACCGCAATCCCACGCGCAGCCAGGACCCACTCGCCACTGCCGCCTCCACAGCACCCATGGGGACCTGGAGACTTTAAAAGGAGTTTGGGGTTTCGGGAGCAGGGAAATCACGGGTACGGATAAGCCGCTTTCTTTGCCTTAAAAAAATGGTTTTTCTTCGTCCGATTGTGTGGATCGTGCGCTGGGGGTAGGAAAGAGAGGGGCTCTTTGGGTTGAAAGCAGACCTTTTACACACACACACACACACACTCCGCACTAATACTCACCACCGGTTTTGCCTTGCTTCCCCCATCTCTTTGTTAAGGTATTTTAGACAGAGCTGCCTCGCCCTGGCGCAGTCCGATTGACTCTGCTAGGGAGAAGGCGAGCAAGGAGAGGGCAGAGTGTACCTGCCTGCATGGGCAGGTGTGCCCCGGTGCTTGAGTGTCCGTGCATTGGCAAGTGTGCAGGCGTACGTCCGGAATTGTGTAGGAATGGGGGGGGGGGGTGAGGCTGACAATGTGTGGTCGCCAAGATGTGTCATTGTGGGTGTATGACATTAACACTGTGGGTGTATGTACCAGGCTGTCAGTGTCTGGACTCCAAGTGTGCAAAATGTTGCTGATGTCAAGTGAATGCTTTTAGCGAGTCTGTTATTGTGCAAGCCGCTGTCAGGGATGGGGTGTGACCCAGCGCAAAACGGGCAGGTGGGCTGCACAGGATGGCAACCACGATGTGAGCTCAGCTTGCTCTAGCTTTGGGTCTTAGGGCTTCACTTGACACCCACCTTTCCGTCTGGGTGTCCATCTCCCACCCTGCCAGAATCTGCGCTCTCTTCGCCCACTTGAACCCCGCATGTTCTCTAGCCCGCCTGTGATTTCTCCTCTGGAAGTTACAGGGCAGGGTTCCCGGGCAGAGTCGGAGGCTGGTTGAGAGGTATGGTGTCTGCTCTGGCCCTCCAGACTGGCGGCTTCTTCTGTGTCCCCTTTCCTACCCCAGGGAGGACCTGCAAAGTTGACAGGCGCAGGCGACTTTGGTGCCGGTGCTTAGCCAAGCTGCAGGCCCCTGGGAAACTGAACAACCTGGGAAGGGGACACCAGGAGGGTCATCCCGGACTCTGATGATGTCTATCCTCTCTCCCTTGCTAGATCTCAGTTCCTGGCCCTGGCCTCGCCGCGTCATTGATGGGCAACCAACTGGACCGCATCACCCACCTCAACTACAGCGATTTGCCCACTGGGGACCCATCTGGGATTGAGAAGGACGAGCTACGGGTCGGGGTTGCCTACTTTTTCTCGGATGAGGAGGAGGACCTGGACGAACGCGGGCAGCCGGACAAGTTTGGTGTGAAGGGCCCCCCAGGTTGCAGCCCCTGCCCAGAGAGCCCCAGCCGCCACCACCACCACCTGCTGCACCAACTCGTCCTCAACGAGACTCAGTTTTCAGCCTTCCGGGGCCAGGAATGCATCTTTTCCAAAGTAACCGGCGGCCCTCAGGGCGCCGACTTGAGTGTCTACGCGGTCACCGCACTGCCCGCGATCTGCGAGCCCGGCGACCTGCTGGAGCTGCTGTGGTTACAGCCCGCGTCCGAGCAGCCAGCTCCAGCCCCACACTGGGCCGTCTACGTGGGCGGCGGGCAGATCATCCACCTGCACCAAGGCGAGATCCGCCAGGACAGCCTGTACCAGGCGGGCGCGGCCAACGTGGGCCGGGTGGTGAATAGCTGGTACCGCTACCGCCCGCTGGTGGCCGAGCTGGTGGTGCAGAACGCCTGCGGCCACCTGGGCCTCAAGAGCGAGGAGATCTGCTGGACGAACTCCGAGAGCTTCGCCGCCTGGTGCCGCTTCGGAAAACGCGAGTTCAAGGCTGGCGGGGAGGTCCCGGCAGGCGCGCCACCTCCGCAGCAGCAGTATTATCTCAAGGTGCATCTGGAGGAGAACAAAGTCCACACGGCCCGCTTCCACAGCCTGGAGGACCTCATCCGCGAGAAGCGCCGCATAGACGCCAGTGGCCGCCTGCGAGTGCTGCAGGAGCTTGAGGACTTTGTGGACGACAAGGAGTAACCCAGAGCAGCCGCCTTCCGCGCTTTTTCTCACGTCCGGAGCTCCTTTCCTGTCCCCGCAGTTCTGCACCCCACGACCCCTAGCTCGCGAGTCCAGGGCCAGCCGCTGGAAGCTTCAGGAACTCACAACGGCACTGGGCGGGCACAGCTACGCTCCCCTAAGACAGCCCTTGGTGTTGGTGACCATGCCGGGGTGACCTAACCTGCGCCTTTCCCCTAGGTTGTGACGGGGAAAGGGCAAAGGGGAGCAAGGACACGATCCTTCCCGAGAGCCAATGGTCAATGATCTTTCACCAGACAGGGCAAATACCCTTTAGTCACAGGGGATCGTCACCCCCCAGATGCGCACACACAGACCAGTTGGAGGTGAGAATTGTTCTTTTGGGGGCACAATTGAACTCCCGAGGATCTCAGAAACCGAGCCTGTCCTGTGTACTTGGGAGCACTTCGGGGACTCCAGGTTACCCTGAGGCTGCCAGGAACTGTTTTGCAGCTCTCCAGCCCAAGGTCTTCTGACAATGCATTCCAGACTCTGGGCTGAGCTAGATAGGTTTGGCTTCCCTGTTTGCACAGCTGGAAGCAGACGCCAGTTCCCGGACTGACCGACCCTTGACAGAAGGGAAGCCTTCTAGGTCCCTGGAGGAAAATGGCTCAGCACATCTTAGAGGAAGGAGGGCTTGCCCGCTCCAGAAAAGGAGCTAATTCACCTGGTGTGTGGTCTCTTGAATGTAAAAAGGAGGAGGCTTTTTTTGCTCAGAACCCCTTGATTGCTTCCCTCCTTGCTCCGAGTTTCAGAGAATCTGGTTTTCCAAGGGACTGGAGGAGAAGGCAGGGAGAATCTACAACATTCCAGAAACCAGCATTAGGACAGCCTAGCCAGTGTCTTTAGTTTGGCTTTTTCTAACTAGAAGATCTTAGAAGGCAGGGGGGAGGTAGAGGTTGTTTTTAAAACCGGAACAGCAGTTTTCCAACGTTGTCAACAAAGCCTACAGTGTCGATGCTTCTCTTGATCATATTTAGCAACCTGCTAATGAAATTTCAAATTGAAATTTTTATTTTCATGGCTTTAATCCATGATAGCTTAAATACTGGGGGCCATTAGGAGTGGAATTAAGCTAAGAGTTTAGCTGACATTGCCTTTCACTCTGGTTTTTCTCAACTCTTATGAGAATTCTGTTTGGGGATATTATATTTACTTTTTTTCCCCCTGACTTTTTGGAGTTGCCCTGTGATGATGGAGCTGTTCATTAGTGTGTATATTGTACTGAATTTTTGTCAGTTCAAGGGTCTGCTGCTGTGGTGATTGCTAGCAAGTTCCATGAGGGTTCTTTTCTTTCTTCATGTTGTATATCATCATCATCATCATCATGAATTTCCTCATTTCATCTTTTGCACCTCACCTCTTGGTCCCCTTCAAAAGGAATCAAGAGTTGGTGGGCTTTAGGGCCGCCTCTGTAGCCTGTCCTGCTGTTTATTCCTGAGAAGAGGGAGGCGCTCTTAGAACCAGGACAGAAGGTGTGTCTTTCCAAGCACGGTTATGTGAAGCTCCTTCCTTTGGGCAAGAGTTGTGGATTTTCTCCAAGGGATACAGCCACAGCCTAACTGGTCGTTACTTGATTCCGTGTGCTAGACACACCTGAGAACATATACAGTGTCCTGAGAGAGTTTGTCAAATCACGGTGTTTAGCTAATGGTTGTGAGCAATTGCATAGTAGTGACAGATGTGTCTCAGTTGAACAGCAAATACTATGTCCAAAGCCAGTTCCTTGGCGTTTGAAAACAATGCAATAAAAACTAGTGGAAGTTAGCCGACAGGGAAATGCCTTTCTCATGCTAAAGGGTTTGTTTCTGTTTTGTGGGGATTTTTTTTGTTGTTGTTGCTTTCTTTTGTTTCGTTTTGTTTTCATGTTGGATTCATCCTCTGATCTTGAGTCAAAAGGTCAAATCAATGAAATATGAACTAAAGTATTTTTCTGAAGCCAACGGAGTGATTTATTTTTTAAAACTGTGTATGCTTTTCCTTTCAGCACATCCAACAGCAAAACTTCGTAACAACTAAACTTAACCTTTGCATGTATGGAGAACTGAAAGTCATTTCTTTCTCTAACTTAGTCTTTTGGCAAATGACAGATCGGTGTCCATAAACCGAAATTCTTTATTGTGTCTCCACACGCCATATCCTTTCCTGTGTCCTCCTACTGTATCTTGGCTCCTGCTGAATTAAACACCATCCTAAGCACTTGTTCCCTTGGGACTCCTTCTTGACATTGTGTCTTCCACCTGTGAGTGGGCAAAAGAAGCTCATTGGTCTCTATCAGATCCCAAACTGAATTACTCCTTTTATGAAACGTATATGCCATGCCAAGAGGGGACTGGTTCATCAGCTTCATACATGCTGAAATTTGATGACAATGAAAACGAAAGCAAGACAGAGAAATAACATTTATGGTTAGATTGATTTACCAAGGACTTAGTGAATGATAATAGTTTTTCAAATTCACAATAAGAAAACAACGATCAAAAATTTTAAAGGGAGTTTTATGGTTTCTCATGCTCCTATGGAAATGATTGCTATCTCTTGGTGATTGTTAGCACAAACCTGTCAGAGTACATTTTATTTTATTTTATTTTATTTTTTGGTTTTTTGAGACAGGGTTTCTCTGTGGTTTTGGAGCCTGTCCTGGAACTAGCTCTTGTAGACCAGGCTGGTCTCGAACTCACAGAGATCTGCCTGCCTCTGCCTCCCAAGTGCTGGGATTAAAGGCGTGTGCCACCATCTCCCGGCCAGAGTACATTTTAGAGAGAATCTTATCTAATTGCTTGATCAGGAAAAAGGGTTTCTATTTTATTTATTTATTTATTTTTGTTTTTTCATGACCGGGTTTCTCTGTAGCTTCGGAGCCTGTCCTGGAACTCACTCTATAGACCAGGCATGAACTCACAGAGATCTGTCTGCTTCTGCCTCTCAAGTGCTAGGATTAAAGGTGTGCGCCACCACTGTCCAGCTAAGGGATTTCTATTTTAAAGCATTATTGAGGCTGCTGTTGCTAGATCCGCAAAAGTTGAAGATCCTTTTGTAGCTGTCACTTGAGTTTTATTATGGGCGAATACTGTTTTCTCTAGAATGTACTAGTTGCAGGAATCAAGCCATGAGTCTTCCACCATTTGCAAAAGGACAATAACATTTTAATTTTAGGACAATTTAGTTTTTGTAGTCCCATGATGTGGAGAGGGTGAAGCTGTGTTCTGTCCAACCCTCACCAAAGCAGAGGCCACCTCTACCTTTTCTCCCCTGCAAAGGGGCATATCTCCAAAGAAAACTACTATCAGAAAACAAATTTAAAATGCAGATGTTTCTCAGAGAGCTTTACTGCATTAAAAAGCAAGCAAACAACAACAGATGCGAAAGGTACATTGGGCATACATCTGAAAAATAAAGCTCTCGAATGCCATTGCTCTTAAAGTATATACTCTTTTGTTTGAAGAAGAAATTCTGTAGAAGTTGTGTGTGCTAAATTAAAAAGAAGAAAAAAATCAGTTGTGTCAATGAGCTAAATTGGTAGGTATAAAATGTCCTTCAGTATTTAACATTTAAGTGACCTTTATGACCGCTTGTTAGTAAAAGAATTACATATGCTAATCTGCATTTAGAAAATATAATAGTTTGTCAGACACAGAAGCAAGTTTTAAGTCCATTGATATTACCTGATATTTTAAGTTCATGTTTCCTCTTCAATATCGTGTTTCTTTGATGACCACTTTTGAATGAATAATGGCATTTTTCAGAAATGTATTTTTTGATGTTTACAAAATGACGAATTTCCTGAGACCTCAGTGTGTTTATCCTCATGCTCTTCCAGCATCCCCTGATGACTGTTTCTCTTCTGTTTTCAGCATCTCTAAGAATTAAAAGGGTCAAGTCACCTAACACAGAGAGTAAAGTAAAAATGAAGGAAAATCAATAGTACCTAACACAGCAATAGAAGGCCCCTAATTTTCTCTTCTCCGCATGCCTGTTTTTAAAGCTCCTTGCTGGTTTTTTTTGCTTTATTTTATGTTTGCCATTGGTGCTGAAGTGGAATTTGGGCCCTACGCATGATGGAGCTGTGGCCCATCGTGTCTTTTCTGACAACAGATGAAGATACTGGCTTGTGTTTGCTTTTTGAGAGATGATTTGCCGCATGCAGGAAAGACTACCGATGAAAAGTGCAGACTTCCCTGCTTGAAATGTTAAGAGCTTCTGCTGGAGAATATTTCACCTAGACCCTGTCAGTTCATTTTCTTTAATAGTTAAAGTTTTAACTATTAGAGGAATACACATATGTGACTGTTCATAATGATATTCGCGTACATTTCCATATATAAATTTCTGCCAATAGCTAAACATTTTGTCACACACACACACACACACACACACACACACGGTGGGTGGAGGGACACACACACAAGCCCGTAGATTTTTTTTCTTTAAAGACCAGAATGAAAAGTAGCATAAAATTTATAAAAACAGAAGGCAGAATGTCCAGGGGTTAAGTGTTAACATATTTCATGCTTACTTGAGCAGCAAAGAGCTGTGGCTACACCAAGCACAAACAACAAATTTAAACAGTTAGCTTTTAGTTGTCCCCCGCCCCGCCCCCCCACACTGCCACCCACTGCTAATTATCATTTTAATTTTGGCTTGTTTGTTGAGACAGGGTCTCACTATGTAACCCTGGCTGGCCTGGAACTTTCAGTGTAGATCTGGCTATTGGCTTCAACCTCAGAATGGTCCTCTTGCCTACACCTCTTGAAGGCTGGAATTATGAACAGGTACTGCTATATCCAGCTTAGTTTCACCTTTTTGACTAGAAAAACATAATCAAAAGCAAGATTCAAAGGAAAGCTGAAAAGATCAGGAGGTAACTGATAAAAGAATAATGATGGGGGCAACAGTGGAGGTTATGAAACGTAATGAGTTAATAAGCTTTACAATGGGGAATAACTATTCTCCATTCTAACTGAAGACAACAGAGGAAACCTAAGACCATATTTTCTTACCTTTCAATAATGTATGAGGGTCTCTCGCTGCATGACTCAAAGTTTACCTTGGAGGCTGTATGTTACCTCACTGGATGCCACAATGTAAGTATTTCAAGTGTTTGAATATGTTGGGGGTGGAAAATGGTCTTTTCTGCCCTTGTTAGGAGGGCGAGTTAAGATCCACGCTTTGGGTGCAGCACATCCATGGCAGCGGGCCACCAGCTTCAGGCTTTCACCAGTTTCTCTGGTGTGGATGACAGCAGCTGGCGCATAGTAGGCACAACAGGTGTCTTGATTTGATGGTTTTTAGTAACTCTTGATCACTCAGAAATTCAAAGAGCATACCATTTGCCTTAGGTATGGAGGTGGCATAAGCTTCCATTGCTAAAATTGACAAGGACGCCTCTGGGAGCTCACAGAACTGCTCCTCAGGAGGCTTGGGCCCGAGGGCTTCATATTCAAGGGTGTCTGGAATATTCAGTTTTGCCTCTAGAAAAGTCTAGGGATTCAAAAAATGTAAAAGCTCTTCTCTTGTCTTTTGGTCAGAAAGATGAAAGCAAACTATTAATTCTGACTCTGGCTTCTCCCACATTTGTCTCTCTCTCACCTCAAAGAGGGATTTTTCTTGCACACAATCACAAGATTATTCATTCAGAGGAAGTTATTATTGCAGCTCTTGCTACAGTCATAAAACATAAAAACGTTCTTCGTTTGTAGACAAAGACAGAAAGCAGACTTACCTTGCTAGGATAATTAGATTTGATGTCATTTGGTCAGGGTTTTTAGTTTTGTTTTTTTAATTAAACATTACTCATTAGTAGACACTAAGATAATTGCTATGCTTGTCAGCTTTTATAATCCATTTACTTTTGTATGTTAATGTAAGTTTCAAACTTAGTTTTATCTGAACAGTAGGTATTTATGAAATACTAGGTATGAATAGAGCCAATATCTTAATTTCCAGTTCAAAACAAATGCTCCGAAAGTCAGTGTAAGCCAGGCACACACATATCGTCCAAACCTCTGGATTCTGAGTCAGGAAAAGTGTAAATTTGAGCCAGCCTGAGCCACACTTTGAAAGTCCATCAAAACAACAATCCAAGGTTCAAGCAACAATAGTGACATCATATTTGACTTCTTCTTCTTCTTCTTCTTTCTCTTTCTCTCTCTCTCTCTCTCTCTCTCTCTCTCTCTCTCTCTCTCTCCCTCTCTTTCTCTCTCATTCTTACTTTCTTCTTTCTTTTTCTCTTTTTATTTATTATTTTTATTGCTTCCAGCAGCAATTGTCTGTGACATCAATTCATATATTAATATTCTGTACATGTTCCAGAGGGAAACATGAGAGTATTTCATTGTAAGTATACCGATGTTTGTATAAGTTATTATCAGTTCAGCTATTTCTCTGCCTCCAAAAGTTCTACAGCATGCCAGCTTTTCACCAAGTATGAAGCCCACTGTCTTCAGTTTTCAGATGCTCCTAAAGAGTGCACACATCTGTGAGAGTCACTGAGGATAATTTTAACAGGCTGCAGTTCCCAATTGCACACTCTGTCTTTTGTTTCCGACTGGTAGCATGTGTCTGGGGTTGCGGGATCTGAGCCCAAAAGAAGCATGGTTCAGGATAGTACTGAAGGACACAGCTCACAGAACTATAGTGTGCTTCCATTAGATCTAAATCCCAGATAAATGGCTAACAGTTGTTAGAGAATCTATGCGTTATATCTATGATATAGCTAACAGTAGAAGCTATGCTTAGGGAAACTAGATGGTAAATGATCACACCGTACCTGGCCATATTCAGGAGGAAGTGTACCATCTCTAAGGAGTCGCCTTAGTGTCGACCCTGAGGTTCAGAGTTGTCAAACTAAGAGCAGACATCCTACCCACAGCTCTAGGGCTTTCACACCTCTTATGTGTCTTTTGGGCCCAAACTGTGTTCATATGCAGGAATAAGCCGAGATTTCAGAGCCCTAGAAAGACTAGTTCACAGGACCCATAATTACTGAGGGAGTTGGATGTGTCTTTGTGAAAAAGGATTGGCAAAAGGCTTTCAAGCATCCCCACCTACCCTTCTATTACAGGATATGCCATTGAAGGTTTTTATTTTCTGTGTAAACATTTCCTGAATACAACAAGAAATACTTTACACCAGTTGTTTTAATTACACGTCTTATTTAGTCAAGTTGGATCCCCACCTGATACCCTGTTGTTCCCATGGCTTCCTCACTTATCTCCCCTCCATGGTTCTTCTATCTGAACACCTGTGGTCATGGTGATTTTTCCACAACAGTTTTGTTGCTCACAAAATTCATCACCACAGAGGCTAGTAGGACAATCATGATCTTATACATTGTGAACCTGTCCCTTTCCAGCTGCATGTCCTACAGCTGTAGGGTTCAAGCCACCTATATTTTGTAGAACATGCAGTTTTAATGCAGGCTTCCATGATATCCTATCTTGTCCATTTTATCAGCTTTCCCATCTCTGTTCTAGAACAACAAACCCATATTTATTTACCTTTCCTGACCAAGATCCACCCAAATCCATAGAGCAATTTTGGTAATTTTCTTCTGGAAATTTCCATTGTACTTTGCTTAGGACACTGACACGCACTCTTTCTTCTGTGATAAATGTCAGTTGGGTCTCTCCTCTCATGCCTGTTTGATCTGCAGGGGACAAGGAGACCCTGTACTTGCTCATGTTGTATAGCTGCAAAGCCTATCACTATCTAATTGAATGGATGGGAAAACCTGAGAAGGGCAGAGATAGTTTTCCATGGTAAAAAAATTACCAAAATTTGAACATGAATTTCTGTGGGACTCTCTATACATCACTCAGTGAGAGACTACTTTCTATTCAGGAAACTAGCTCAAATCATGAAAGCTTGCTATTGCACCATATTGCAAATTTTGCTCTATATTACAACATATTGCACTATGTTACAAATGGTTAAGAGTTTAGCTATATATAGTGTAAGAGTTTTCTCTGTCTTCAGCATAGTGATATATACATTTCTTCATGAATGACCTTCATGATTTTCATGCCTATGAGAGTATACTCTTGGTAACTTAATTTCTGCCTAGGTTACACAACTTAACTGCAAATTTTATAGGCAACCAAGGAGTGGATTTCAAAATATAGACATGAAATAAGAAATTTTAAATGTGATTTAATGGGCTTAAGACTCTGCCCCAAGATGTTCAGTCAATATAGAAAAGTCTACTGAAAACCGAAGACCTCTTTGCTTCTTGCAAGGTAAATTCTTCCCAATCTTACCCCTAAGCAATTATACCTACATCATGCGTGAAAAAGGATAAGTCTACTTGCTTGACATCCCTATGTTGGTGGCAGGGTGTGAAGAAAATCAGCCTCCTTTGATTGATGCCATTTGGACCTCCAGGCTGGTTGAGCAGCTAGAATAATTTAAAATGAAGTTGAGCA